GGGGCTACACCCCAAAAGTCACGATTCGGCTTTAAATTATTGATTTTGATTTGTAGGCATTTTTAGCTTCTTCAGTCTCTCTGACAACTTTTTCATAGCTTCGGACACCTTGCATGTTTGTCACCACCATTTCCTCAAAACGTCAGTCTTTTATTTTTCTTTATCGTCCGTTTTCTCAGAACACGGTTTTTTTAATATACTTTTTAAAATAACTGGTGGGATGTAGCTCTCTCAGAACGGGTCGGCCCTGACAGGCAAGGCCTCTCAAATGTGTTTATTTGTGTTGATGGAGGCGGCAAAACACCTCCACTTCCTTACAGCAAAGAGAAAGAAAGAGAAAAAGAAAAGAAAAGAAAAAGAAAAAAACCTCAATATTTTAAATCATCAAAAAACCAACGTGACATAATTATTTATCGGTTCACGTGGTGTCGACCAATCCCCAACTCACGGGCACGTGGTGCTGTGTAGTGTGTGATCGTCCATCACCATAGATTTACACAACAAGGAGTCTAAAAAGGAGATAACTCTTATGTCCACCACGAGACGGAGAGGCGAACAGGTCAAGGGAAGTAACCTCTACACTGAGATCGCTTACAGTTCTTGTACCTTTAAAAACTTGGTAGCTTCCCTTAGTATACAATGTCTGGATGGAGAGATGAGCTTGTTCTTTCCTTTCATTCCACCTCGCACTAGTGGTGGGCAAAATCCAGATAGCCTATCCAGATAACCGGATAATTCTCAATGAAACATTATCCGAATTTAGACTCTCTTTTCTAACTCGTTTGCCGAAATGCGTACTGCCATTTGTTGAAGTGGTTCTAATCCGTTTGTCGTAGTGGTTCTAACCCATTTACTGAAGCGGTTCATACCATACGAAGAAGCATATGAAGAAGGGCACTAACATATTATTCCAATTTTGCTAAAGCGACTCATTGCCCAGCCCTATCTCGCACACCACGTCAGACCCTGTCTTTTGGCGCATCCATCCACGCAGGTTCGGGTTCAAACTACTCGTTGGTAACCTGTGTCCGTCAAGTATACTGTAGGAACAAAGCAGCAAAGCAACAAAACCAAGATCACTTCAACGACCGGGCAATATCTAGATGTATAGCGTGAAAGAGTGGGTGGTTGGCGGGTGCTCTGGTGTGGTTTGCTTCTTCTTTCCTATCAAACATCTATCGTCCTTATCTCCCCTCCTTCTTTTTTATGTGTGTTACTCTCTGGTAACACCTCTAATCTTCTGGCGCTCATATGACCTTATGCAGTTGCGAGCGCCGTAAAACCTCTACTAAAAATAAACTAGCTTAAAAGAACAAGCGTTAAGAGCTCTGCAATCTTTGATCATAACAGGTCGCTTTCACAACGAAGTGAAATGACTCTTCTATGCAGGTGTCTTCACGCCCTCATCCACACAGCCATAGATCAAATGGTCGCTTTTAAGCACAAGGGGGCTATCCCGAAAAATGCTGTTTTGAGAAAATCGAAGGTAAAGTTTTTGCCCCTTGTTCAGTTTCTTTGAAAGTCAAGGAGAGTTTTCTCTATAACCAAACAAATACACACCAAGAAATCAAACTTCTCTTATAGGTAGTGGAATGCTCACTTTTGGTGTAGGTCAAGACATCTGGGTTAGCCTGCTTGTCCTTAACGTCATTGATCTGAGAGCAATGATGATTTTAGAACTAGTTGTGGTAATGAGTGATGATTTGGGATTGCGTTTAAGTAATGTCAGCGTTAGTCCTATATCTTCCTCTGCTCCAATGAGTCACGAGGGACGTAGGCACCCTCTCTCTCGTTCCCTGCTGGAGCCATCTTTACGGTCATGGTGAAGTTCCGAGTGTGGGGAATTTTCTACAACCGAACAGACACACTAAAACCCAGAAACAAGCGCAGAAACAAACAGCTCACTGCGACAACGACAAGTACTCAGCTTTTACACTTTGGATAAGACCCAGTGCGCCCTTCTGACTGTATGAACCAAAGATGGAAGTAAAATATCCTAGACCGTGCACTGTCAGGGCCGCCCATAGACTTGTATTTTAATATCCTAATTCTATGTATTCTTATATCTTAAGACTTGTATTCTTATATCCTAATTCTATGTATTCTAATATCTTAAGACTTGTATTCTAATATCCTAATTCAATGTACAAGTATTATAATACACCTGCTCATGCAATCCGAAGCAGTTCCAGTTACCCTGAAGGGCACCTTGTGACTCAGTCTGGAGCTGAATGATGGGCAAGGGGGAGGAAGGGGGGGGGGGTTGTTGTGTTCCCTCTAAATATCACCGTCAGGGTTGTCAGTTTGGCGCCATGTTGTGCCAGATCCCGGAACTTTTGCTCTTCTCTTCTACGTCAGGCC